AAATAAGGAAAGGATCATTTGCAAAAAATTATAATTAGCATAAATAATACATATTTTCCTAAGAATTATTAATTTAGTGATGAAAAATATGAGGGTACAAAAGGCATTTGGTATATCATTGAGACAATTAGTAAAGCACACAGAGGGTGGAAGTCAAATTGTGCAATCACTATAATTTGTAGCATTTCCGAAGTTATGTGTACATATTAAGTAATGATTAAATTTGACATTTTTAAATATGCATCAGAAAAAAACTGAACATGATATCATAGTCCCAGGGAGCAGCAAGCATGGGCTGACCTGCAAGGGACGAGTGTTGGGAGGAGGGTGTGACAGTGACCTCAGTGACAGGAGGTGCCTTCCCTCAGCACCCATGTGTGGAGCACAGAGAGGGACGGGGAATAACACCCAAAATCCAGTGGTTCTCAGACAGGTCCACAGTGAGGAGACAGGTCGTCAGATCAAGCCAATAAGTCAAATATTTGGGTTAGGTTCAGGGCCCAGGTAAGCAAAGTATAAGGTGAGGTACCAGACCACTTGCAGCATAGTCCAGGCAAGCATCAAGGGCTCCAGAGTGAATTGGAGGACCCCCAGGAAGCACCCCCACGGCTCAACCTCAGCTCAGTTCACAAGGTCACAGCCTCATCCTACCAGAGCTGACCTCAAACACAGGGAGACAGTCAGCAAAGTATGTGATGTGATGTGATGTGATGTGATGTGATGTGATGTGATGTGATGGGAGGTGGCAAGATGTGGTTCATTCTTGTCCCAGACGTGGTGACACAGTGTTCCTAAACATTTTCTAGTTTAGTCTGTCTGTCATTAGATTCTTTCTTTCTGAGACGTTGTTAGAGTTGGATAACTTCTGTGGGTATTTCAGTCTCGCTTAAAATGTTCTTTAGTTTTTTTTCATTAATATTTAATAACCTATTAATAGAAAGAAAGCATAATCTTTAAGATACTGGACTGGAATGTAAATAACTTGGGATTCATTTTTGCTTTTAAATTACTTCCCTGGGGTTCTGCAGAAACCTTTCTGCTTCAGTTCCTCTTCAGTACCAAACAGAGCTTTTGACCCAGTCTTATGTAACTTTAAGAGTTAGATTTTCTTCAAGGATCTTACTTTATGTCCACACAAGTTCCAGTCTTAGACTTTTCTTTATCTTCATCAATTACACGGAAGCGTCTGGGGTTATAGATAAGAAGATTTCTCCTTGCCTAAAGCAGACTTAAAATAGAATTTTTACTATAATCACTTTCAAAGTTCATTTCATAACATCATTTTGTCTCACGAAATGGCATCATTATTTTGCAGATATTTATTTTCTTGGCTTATTTTCTAAGTCATGCATGTTAATATTGTAACTCCATCTCATGCATAGCTCTTTACTTCTCTTACTCTTCATTATATGACTTGTTTTCCCTCTTGATTTTATTACTAAATAAACATTCTTTGTTCTCTCTTGACATTTCTTTTCCACCTTCACCTGGTTTTTATCCTGCTCCTACAAGATGTATTTGTTTACTTAAAGTTACTAATTCTAGTAGTCCTATAATAATCTTTCAGTTGCATGAAGACTAATAATAGTTTTGGTGAAGACAGAGTGTAAACTGTTTGTATTGGGTTTTCTGTGAGGGGTCTTTGGTTGTGTCTTTGGTAATGAGGGAAGGGCTATGGAGATGGCCCTTTAAGAAGCTACCTGAAAAGCTCCCCCTTTGCCTTTGTCAGACCCAGCTCTGATCAGGACCAAACCAATCAGTGCCCCTGAGAATTCAGGTATTTAAGGGGGGGTGCAGGCCATGCCTCGCGCTCTCTCTGGCACCAGCCCTGACCAGCGCGGCCCCAGGTGCGGGTGGTGCAGCCTGGGCCTTGCCCGGCTGGGCTTGGCAGGCCCCGACTGCAACTTAAACTTAAGCCCTGCTGCAGCTTCATCCCGAAATAAAAGAGAAAGAGCTGGGATCTCCATAACCATCAGAAGAGACCTGCAGTGGAGAAAGGAGTGGGGCCTGAGGAGAACAAGTCTGAAGAACACCAAGGTCTGTTTGAAGGACAGAAAAGAGAAGGAGGAGGAGGAGGATGCAGAACCCAGGTTCTCCTTTTGCCCCTGAAGAAGCCGTGACTCTGGGCAGTGCGTGCCAGAGTAGTTTGTGTGTGAGGGAAACTGCAGCTGTGGGCAGACCCAGATTGGGCTTTTGAGGACTTTCTCCCCTATGGAAACGGGGCGGGGAGCACGTGGAAGCAGAGAGAGATGGGACTGAGTTTTCCTACTCTTGAGAAACACATGGTGTAAAAAAAAACAACGACTGCAACCCCCCACTCCCATCCCTTTGCGCCTCAAGGTAAAGAAGGAGGGGGAAGGTGAAAAACTGGAAACAGAAGGTGAGCCTGGGAAGAAGAGAGAGGTGGGGAGAAGCTGTGTTGATTATAAGATCTGGTTGTATTGTTCTACTCTGATGTTGGTAACAAATTAAAACTGTTTTGTTTTTATTCCTTATGATGAGTCTGTGTTTTGCCTGTGACCTGTTTAAGTGGTGAGAAGCCCTCCCAGTCCTTATTTTGACTAGATCTTTTTGAGACATCGTGGTGCTCCGTTAGGCACTGGGCCTAAACCACGACACTGTTCTAATACTACTGACTGCTTACTTCAAAATAGTTCAGAAGTTTCATCCCATACGAATATTGTGAGGAAACAGGTTTTCTTTATCAGTCAAAATGAAGCCTGTATATGATACCAGAATTTGACATAATTACATGATTGAAGGACCAATAAGCGGGTAAGAATTTTTGCAATAGCTTTCATTTGGAAGTGTCTAAAAAGAAAAATAGCTTTTTGTAAATATGTGTTTTAGTAGCCCCCGAGAAATTCTCACTATGAAAAAGGTATGCTAACATGGGGTGGTGAATGCAGGATTTCTAAATATACAGTAGCATAGAGCATAGACTTTTACACCAGATAATAGCGACAGAAGTAATAACTTCTATAATGGATATAATAGTTCAACACTGCTACCTTAAAAGAAAAAAAAAACCGGCTAAATGATCTAAAATACACATTTGATAGCACATTACCTAATGGTATCATTGAACATCATGAGATTCTGAAGGTAATGGAATGGTCTCAAAATAGAAAGACTATGAGTATCCTGTAAGAAGGCTTGTAGTTTGCTTGCAGATCCATATCCTTTCTTTTCTTCTATGGGGAACTCACTCCCAGGGACAAAAGCAGAGAGGCAAAGAGAGGATTTAGAAATTAGCACACTTGCCTGGCTATGGAACTGGGTGGTCAGAGTGCTTCAACCATTTGAAGGCAGAATTGGGATTCAATAATTGAATTAAAACAAAAACTCTTCTGAGAAAAGTACCAAAACTTAGTTTCTACCTCTTCTGAATTTAATATTCTAAGCCTCAAGCCTGCTGTTATTACTACTAGTTTGTAATTTACTAGTAGGACATAGCTAAGTTTTAGATGCTTTCATCTTGATTTAGGTGACAATAAGAGAAACTCAATACAACCCTTTGATATTCTCCCTTAATTTTCAACAGTTCACTGAGTAATTTAATATTCTCCAGCTCAAAGTTTCAACAAAAGTTATCTTTCCTGTGCTATTTTGATCGTTCAGCATAGTCCAAAGTGTGCTTCAAAATATTTTTGGAATACATGGGAGGATAAGAGGACATTTAATGCAATTATATAATTAAAGTAGTATCATAATCCATGTGCACTTTAGAGATAGACCAGGTGTATGTAGGTGTAGAAATACAAACATCCTCATGTCATTCCACATGCAAAACTAATGCAAACACTTTTCAAAATACAGATGTTATTGTTTGTGTTTACTAAATAACTTCACTTGTAAGATACAATTTATACTCTGTAATAATTTTCTCATTTGTAAATGTCAGTGTAGAGGTCACTGTCTTAAAATGTAAGATAAATATAGTAAGAAATAAAAAGGTATTATAGAACCAAAAGGAGAAAAAACTTTAAGGCAAATTAGACACATACTCAAAGCTATTGACAGTTTCCAAGGTATTACACGTCATTTTGAGTTTTCATAATTTTCAGTATGACTCCAAGAATAAGCTGCATTATCTTATTTTGGTTTTCTTTCTGTCCTTTCTGTAAACATTCATCGCCATGCAAGAAAAATTACCAGACAGACTAAAGGACAAAATAGCGCTCTTATATAAATTAAACAGTCCTGGAAGACTCTCTAGTCTGCTGCCTTTGACTGTGATACATCAAAAACCTCAAGCACAAGATTAAGGATCTTAGTTGGAAAACTAAGAATTTAATTGTTTTGCTGAGTGAACACATTGCGAACATAAAAATGTTGAGGATGTGCTTGCATGTTTTCATCACTGAAGCCTTAATTCTCATATCTCAATCTTCAGAATATCTACTTTTATAATAAATTCATTATAAATCACTATCAGCAAAACATCTATGGCTGAAGCTTATTATTAGAGCTTCAGTGTTCTGGTTTACTTCTTAGTTTTACCACAGATGTCCTATCTTAACTTAGTGTCGTGGTTTAACCCCGTCAGCAACTACGTAAGCACCATGCAGCTTCTTGCTCACTTGGCTATCATTATTTTTTGCCAGTGGAGGGAGGGAATATGCGAAGTATGCTCATAAACTCTTTTTCTCTTCCATACATGAGTACTATGAAATGTACTAAATTAAAATCAAATCTTTAACAGGAATAAAAACAGGAAAATTCTGGCTTTAGAGTGGCGTAGTTCTGATCAGTTACCTGGACTTATTCCTGTGTCACATCAGTGTAATTAGGTGTAGATCTTTTGTTCCATATTTTCCATTTTTGTAATGAGGATTTGCTATTCAGATGTATTTCGTGTGAAAACAAGTATTTTTCTCTGCTTGAATTTCTAGGCTGCCATGGAAAATACAGATGAACTTTAAGGAGGAAATGTTCTGAAGCTATGACCTGGTAATGAGGCAGGTGTAAAAGACATCTCCCATTTGCCAGGTGAAGCAATGAGCACAAAATCAGCAGTTCACACGTTAGTTTGCTTTCTTCAACTGTGCGTTGTAAATGGGCAGACAACATGTGAGAGGCAAATGACCGCTGAATGGCGACTGCAACCCAAACCGAGTGTGGTAAAGTGGACACCAAGGGAAAACATCTGCTCAGATTTTTACACCGAATGCTGGAATATGAATAAAAGCATTACTGGGGAAACCTCAGAAGAACAAAACCTCAGCATCCCTCAGATATGCCCCTTACAGCTTCAATTAGGTGACACTCTCTTCATCTCCTCTGAGCCATCCTTTCAGTCCTACGGAATGAATTTGGTAAACGTCTCCAAGGAGGAATTTATTAACTGCCCTAAAGCTGCTTTTCTTCAAGAGCAGTTAATTTTTGTTTGCCAGATAAAAGGACTGCACCAGGTTGACCCTAACTGGCTTGGTGTTGGTACACATTACTTTGCAGAGCTCCATAAGAGAGGCCCGCTACTGTGCACCATGGGCCTTCGTCTGAACGTAACCGTGAAGCAGCAGTTTTGCCAACAGGCTCCAAATGCACCTTTGTGCTCTGGCCATGGAAAATGCCTAAGCCATGTTTGGGAAAAAGCATATCATTGCCATTGTTTCTCACAGTATTCTGGAAGATTCTGCCAGAAGTTTGACGTGTGTTCGACCAAACCTTGCCACAACAATGCCTCCTGCACTCAGAAATCACAGCTTTCTGGAGATTCTTACGAATGCACGTGTCCTCCACAGTTTTCAGGTACTTCTTTTCCCCTCTAGCAAGAAATGTTACGTAGATAATACATTCTCCTTAATGAATAATAAAGCAGTGAGAACATTGTTAGCAAGGTTTTTGTATAATTTGTTCGTCCATTGCCACTGCTACATCAACCATGAGCCTCTTTTACATGTAGATAATTATAGGAGACTGTGCAGTCATTTGAAGACAGTTTGTACTTGCTTAAATTCATATGTACATAGTGGGGATAACTGTGTAAGCTTTATCATGCTTCTTTCCTACTTTAGCATGAGACATAGGTAAGTGCTTGTGAATTTACAGAAGTTACTGATTTCTGTTGTTGGGTTGTTTTTTTGAAGCAGTTCAAGTTCTTACACCAAATAACATAAATCATTTGGAGTAAGTTCCCTCAAAAAAAGCTAGTTAACCAATCTGCTGAAAACCAGCAAACGGCTTTGTTGAAATGAACATGTCATTGGACCTGCCACGAAACCTCCCTTTTCGGTTTAAAGGACCTTTTAAATTACACTGGAGAAATTTTTTAAATCAGTATTTTTGTTTAATTGAAAAGTCAATCACTTAATTAGAAAAGCAAGCAAAACAAAATACTTACTCTTTTCTTCCAGATCGTTCTGCACTGTAAAGCTCTTTTCAAAAGGACTTTGCTAAACATACAGTTATGAACAAATTAAATATTTCGCAAATGAAAATATTACCTAATTCTCGCTAGGAATAATTGCAGAACTTACTCAAAACCCATTGGAGAAACTGAATCTGGGTTTGGGACTGGACTACCAGAGTACAGCATGATTAGATACATTCATACCATTGTCTCCATTTCACAGAGAGAGAAAAGAGAATTAAAGAAATAATAGGTATATTGTTCCTGCATTCAGACCAATGGAGTTCAGGAATGCTTTAGAAAGTACCAGAAATATTCATTCACGTCGCAGAAAGGATTATTGTAGCTCTTTCTGTGTTTGTGGAGCAGAATTTTAGCAATGTTCCTTTGAGGAGCTGCACTCCCGTGCTCTCGCAATAGCGATGCTCTGCCATGAAGCGCAGCCAATGAGTCAGGAACAAATGAGGTTCACAGAACACAGAAAGGAAGGTTATGTTGCGTAAAGTTTGCTGTAATTTGGTTTTAATTGCTTTCCAAACCGCATAATAATTTGGTTGCTAATGCATTTGCAAATTGAAGATTATGCAGGTATGAATAAGTCAATGTTACGAGGAAAATATTTTTATAATTATTCAAAGTTTAGTAAAAGAGTGGAAAACATTGCTGGTCTGCAGGATGTTTTCTTTTATGATTTCTCGGGACTATGTAAAATGCTTTGAAAATAATAATATCAAGAAGTGTCTGGCAATACTTTAACTCAAATTAGTGGAGAGATTCACAGACAATTCTGTTAAAAGCAAACATCATGCTTAATGTTATCAACAAGTAATGCTTAAAATAATCTGTTAGCCTACATGGGACAGTGTTGGCTAATGCCATAATTTTGTAGTGGAAATACTGGTCCAGTAAATAAGATGTATGTGAACAAGAAGAACTAGAAGATTAAACTATCATATATATTATGGACATGGCCACACGAGAGTTAGGAAGGAAAAAAGATGCCTCCCGTAACAGAAAGTCTATTAGAAATTTGAGAATTGCTGAAGTGTGAATAATGTCATAGCAGCCACTCAAGTGGCAAGCATAATTATATGGTATTTAGACCCATATGCTGTAAAAGCATAAACAGCTTATAATTGGAATTGTCATTTCGGGAAAGCTGCCTATTAAGAAAAATTCAGTCAAATTGGTCTCCACATGAGAACATCTTTTGTTCGTAATGCTGGATGAAAATGTACGCTAGATTTGTGTCAAAAAGAAACAAATACTGCAGTACTAATGGCATTTTAAGCTATGTGTGAATTTGTAACTATATGGCAGATGAGGCCGAGCACAGTAACTCATATTACAGCACCCGAATAACTTTCTGCCTTGCTTTAGGACTTGAGTAATTTGGATGAAAACCAGTACCTAACATTAGCACAAATAGCTATGTATTCATCTGTCTGCTAAATATAATGTCTCATTTCACGTATAAATTTGCCATTTCAGGAAAAAAAATATATTTACTAAAGCTCCATGTTCCTATTATCCCTTTTAAACAGGTGAAAATTGTACAGAAATAGTTGGACAGTGCCAGCCACGTACGTGTTTCAATGGTAACTGCAGCAACGTTACTCCAAATACTTTTCTCTGTGAATGTGACAAGGGCTTTACAGGTAAGAAACACCTTTATTTCCTGTCTTGTCGTAATGGCTTCCTGTTTTATAATAATAGTGTGCATTTTTGCTCTACTGAAACAGTTATTTTAGATGATTGCCTCACAGTTTGCAATATTCTCAGTGATTTTTTTAATAGGTCTTGTAAAATAATCAGACTTCCATGTGTCTGTTCTGAAATACTCATTTGAAGTAAAACTGTAGCAAAGCTCAAGTAAAACTGTGCAAATGATAAAGGTGTTTCACCATTGGATCCCATCCACGAGTACCTTTCTCCTAGTGGCAGTATGACAAAGGAAGACTTATAATCACTAACTCATTGATTCTCAAATACAGAGTTCGCAAGAATAGGATCAGAAGCTCTTGCTGGATGATTTAGAGCAATCAAGACACCTGTATTCATAATTTCACCATCCTATTAATAGATGTGCTAGAAAAAAAAGATGGAAATAATTTAAAGAGTCCATAATCTCATGATATAGTGGTGTATCTTGATTAAAAAATAAAACAGCTCTCATAAACTAATCAGTTTACTTATGATATATTGGACATATAAGATGATTTCATGAGAAAAGCTCGAATCAGAAAATGTATCTGATGCCATCCTATTGTAAACACTTTTTCTTAGGGGTCAGGATAGCAGCCAAACTTGAATAACCAATTGATTCTTGTACTTCACAGCAGAGATTTAGTGTGTTGGTAAAAGAGAAGTAGCAGTACTCAGAAGAACATTCTTTAAGAATGAGCCAAATGTAAAGCTAACGCTTCAATATTCAAGGGCAGTGAGGTTTTAAAAAATGTCTCTTTCTTGGATGCATCAGTTATCCTTGGCAATAACAGAATATAAATAAATCATTACGTTGAGAGGAAGAGTTAAAAGAAAAACAAAAGGAAAAAAAAAAGAGAGAGAAAAAGCATAAGGCAAGGGATCCAAGACCTTATCTTTATTTTCCTAGCGAAATAGTGAACATTCTTGCTGACGTTTCTGTTAAGTCTGTGTAGAACTATATTTTTAAAAATTGGATAGACATACCTAATTCTAAATTCCTAGTAAATCTGTTTGATACTACTCTCCTTTTCCTCCTTTCCCTCATTGCAGAGGGCATCGTGGTCAGCAGCATTCTGAGAAAACTGAAAATAATCTCTTTTTTTTCAAAGGAGTAATTAGGATTTTTTTATAGAATTAGCATTTTCCCCATGCATGGTCTACATATTTTTAGTACATTACTCTTGTCCCTTTCATCTAAATTGTGAGGGCCCATTGGTTATGAAATATTCCCTGCAAAAATCTTTTGTATCCTTGCAATCTTGACCTAATAAGGGATAAGAGGGGAGGAGAGAGGAGAAACACCCTTCTTGACACAGTAAACCTAAACCCATCATATGATGAAAGCATTTAAATGGTCTCAGCTCTCACTGATGGCAGCAAGCATTGCAATCTACTCCCCAGGTAGCTGGTAAGGGATGTGAGGGAGGAAAGGAGACTACGAGAATGAAGCAACTTCCTTTTTATTCACCAGTTTGCTAGAAGAAAATCAAGAATCCTTTCTTATTTCTAAGCATAGTAAGTGTCACAGGAGGAGAAGGTGTAAAGGTGTATTATTTTTTTCTGCTCTGATATAAATTGTCTCAGGTACTGTTGTAACAGGGAAGTTACATAAATATTTAAATATTTAAAAGGTGAGTGTCACGAGGATGGAGCCAGGCTCTTCTCAGTGACAAACAATGATAGGACAAGGGGTAACGGACACAAACTGGAACACAGGAGGTTCCACTGAAATTGGAGAAGAAACTTCTTCTCAGTGAGGGTGACAGAGCACTGGCCCAGGCTGCCCAGAGAGGTTGTGGAGTCTCCTTCTCTGCAGACATTCAAAACCCACCTGGACGCCTTCCTGTGTAACCTCATCTGGGTGTTCCTGCTCCGGCAGGGGGATTGGACTGGATGAGCTTTTGAGGTCCCTTCCAATCCCTAACTTTCTGTGAAGTGTGTAATACATCAGCATAGCTGACCAACATACACTATAATTTTGCAATTATGTTATGACCAAATGTGGTTGTTTTAAGTCTACATTTCTTCCTGTGATCCTGTGTAAAAGTGTTTGCTAGTACTAAAGCCATTTCAAGAATAGTTACCTAAAAAATACCAATCCATGTGGATCCATTCCATCGAGGCTGTGTTGTGTTCTCAGATGAGCTGTGTAACTATGAATCTTGTATCTTGAATGCTGTTCTAAGTGTGTGAAGTTGGCAGCAAATTCAAAACATTCCTGTTTTGATACTGAACTTGTGCACGGAAAACACAAACAAGACCAAGGTTGTGCAAATGATGTTTAAGACTTGATAAACTTTGATAACTTTTTTTCCTAAAATGAGGTAAGACAATGGCAGTAACTAGCTTATATGATCTGAATGATAATATGGAATATTCTTGTCACTTTAAATTGATGTAAATAAATTATAATAAAAAACAAATATAAGGGTAAATAAAGAGTGGCCCCAAGCAGATGGAGACTCCCTTTTCACAAGGAGTCACATGGAAAAGACAAGGGGTAATGAGCACAAGTTGTGTCTGGAGAGATTCCCATTGAACTCCAGAAGTCTTTTTTTTACCATGAGATCAATCACACACTGGAATAATCCATCAATGAGATATTGGAACAATCTCCCAGGGGAAATGGTGAATTCCCCTACACTGGTCAGTTTGAAGAGTCGGTTTGACAGGGGCTGACTCATCTCATTTAAACAATACTTTTACTTCAAGAGGCTAGACTGGATGATCCTTGTGGTTCCTTCCAACCTGAGACTCTGTGATTTTAAGATTTTTAACTTAATAACAAAGAGCTAACATTAGGAGTCCCATTATTCTTATGATTTAATACTCTAATTAATACCAGAATTTGCTCCCTTAAGCTTATTAATAATATTCAGAAGAAGATGATCTGAGAAAAACAAGTATAGGGTTGGTACAGAGTGGAAGGAGGTATAAAATAGGCCAATTGTGTATGAGTAGTCAATATACTTCTCTGAGCCCTGCACTGAAATGTTGTAATCTGTCCTTTCTTCTTATTACATCCTGTCTTAACTCTCTCTCCACCTCAGGCTTTCCTCATCTATGAGTGCTGTAAGGTCTAGATGCCAGAAACTGGAGAGATGAAAGTGGCTAAATCTGGGATCTGCAATTGGAGTTACACCACTGGTGATAGTGGTGCTAGTATCTATGGTGTCAGCAGCTGGAGCGGATGAGGGTCTCATCAGCAGCAGCTGAAAGGAGAGCACTAATTGGGGAGTGAGTGAATTTAATGCCAGTGACTCAGGTGATGATGGGTTCTGTGTCTGGTGCCACCTGAAGCAGGTTAGAGTCCCAGCATCAGCACATGGAGAGGGAACCAAGAGTGATAGGACTTACGTGCCTGGGCATGAGCCACTGGAAAGACCAGGATGTTTATAGTTTCCCTTGATCTTGTGTGTGCGTGCGTGTATGTTACTGTGTAATTCATCAGAGGACTTCAAGCTGGACTGTCTGGTGAGTAAGAGGCCTAGGAT